CAACTGATCATCAAAGTGTCGTTGAAAAAGCTAGGCTTGTGCCCACACTAGAGTATGTTATTTTCCGTTCAGCATTTATATAAATATCGGTAATTAAATGAACTGAATAAACCATGCGCAAGGCACGTGTTATTAATGAAAAAAAAGAAAAAGTTTAATTTTCCAATGGAGCTCGTGATGCAATTTTCAAAGCCTTTCGAGTGTACGGAGCACTACAGCGAGGACTGATGGCGCGGCGGATTGATTATCGGTACCGCGATCGCCGTGCCACAATCGAGCCATTAATCCCGGCTTTCCCGAGTTATACTCACAACAAACGAGGAAAATCACACAATCGGGGTAATTAACTTTAGATCTTATCGGACGCACTGCAGCCGCTGCGAGAAAATGTTATACGCGCTCTGTGATTCTTGCCGCGAGGTGCGTGTACGCGCTGTAGGTATTACACCACTTTGCCTGATTTAAAAAGTCGACGGTCTTTTGGCAGCCTCGTGCACTGAGCGATTTAACGAGGAGTCCCCCCTTGTCGCAACTCCCCGACGAGGATGCGTTTCCGATTTTCTCGCGCGTTAATAGAAAAGACAAAAACTCGATTGTAATTGTGCACTTTGTGCGTGCATCGCGAAATCGCGCGAATACCTATATAGGTACACGGTGAGAGCCGAGGAGCGCGTGGGAACAGGGGAAATGTATAATATATACCAGCGCTATCGTTGGGCGATGATTGCAGCATCGCGTGGGAAAAAATTGCGTGCTCCTTGTCCCCGGGAAGAGGAACGATCCCTCCTCGTAACCAAGTTTTCAACAAGATCTGACGTTTGCCCCTTTGGTCTAATGTTGGAGGAAATACGAGTGAGCTTGCAAGCACATGTCAAGTGGTACTTAAAATTTACAACAACAATAACAACGAAGCCATCGTGGGGACGAGTTGTACGGATAAACCATCTGCCATTCTCTTTGTTCTCCGACGCGCCGACGCCGTCGACTATACACTTGCAGGAGAGGTAAAAGGCAACTGTCGGATGCACTCGCGAGCGAGTCTTGTGTTTTCACGTGAAATTCGGACGTGTGATTATCCGTACGAGGTGCGCCTCCGTGAGGGTAGCTGGGGCGGCGAGTCCGAGGAAGATCATTACAGAGAGAGAGAGATAACTATTTTCAGATCACGCGAGAAGAACTTTTTTAATTTCAATTTCCCGCTCGATTGCTCCCGCATCAGCAGCACCGAGACCAAAGAGCCGCGCGCGTGATCTCAATTCACAAGCGTCACTGGGCCCGAAATCCCTCTTCTCGCCAAAGATTACAACCCGCGATTTATATGTACTCACTCGCCCCCCGGCTGTGCGCTACACTCTTACATACCTATACATGTTATAATATACCGGCTCCGTCGAGAGCACGCCACGGCAGATGCTCTGGATCCTTCAAAGGACTCGTATACCCAAGGCCATCCGGTTTAGGTGCGCGTATACCTTACATAATGTCCACCGTAGAAATACCGATCGAAAGGCAGATAATTAATTCTTGATCCAGAAGTAGGGCAATGCTCGAAAATAATGTTCAACTTTACAGCTACGAACCTCCTGCTGATAAAGTCGCGAAAGAGCTAGGCCAGTTTTTTTTTTTTTTTTTTATTACCGCAAGCAGTTACGAGCGCATAAAATCCACTGTAGGTATATGGGGGGGCACCTACGTCCACTGTGTAGAATCATCGCGGTGAAGAATAAATAAATAAGTAAATCACGCCGGTGATCCTTAGCGAGTCGACCTTTGGGCGATGGTTTGGCTCGCGGTTCTCCCCAACAGGGAGCAAAATCTAGCTCTCCCGACTTTTACACGCAGAGGCCGGGTCGTACTTGTACTGTACCCGAATGGCGCTCTCGTTGCTTTCGCTTCCAAAGTGCGCATCTATAGTTAATCAATATAGCGAACCGTTGAACCCTGCTCTGCTTTGAATTAAATCTTGAGCTTGCAGGTTACAGTACCTATACAATAATGGCTCGGAGTTGCCAAAAATATTACAAATGGGACTTTTGTTCATTCGTGGGTTTATTTGTGCATCGCGTGAACGTGGAATAACTACACAGAAGTGAGGAAGAAAGAGAGCAAGTGGGTACACCATATTAATCGACGGATATCGATCTGATGCAAAGCAATAGTAGCCCACTCTGTGTATGCATGTACATACATACATCAGCCATTGTGTCGTACGGGTCACCGGGACTGCCTTTGCCTCTCCGACTCCGTTTGATTGACAAAGGACTTTGGACTCGGATGTACCCGATGATCGGAATAACAATTCAGACGAGGTAATGCTAATGCCGGTGTACATGTATCTCCCTGAATTCCAAATGAAGCGACCCTCGGCACACATATGCATTTATGTATACCTACCCTGTCCGTATAACGCGGTAAAACCGAAAATGCTCGCGATCCATGGATGGCAGAAAAAATATATATCATCAGGCAATAGAATATATACATATAGGTATACTAACAAGTGCAAAGCCTTGTTTAGATTTTGTAACGTATGTACATGTATGTACATTTATGTACGATTCCATCGAGGGTTCGGTGATGCCGACCATCAGTTTGTTCACCGCACGTCCACGCTATACCCCTCCAATACACGCTGACATACACGCATAAATGGACCACTCGAACGAACACATAGGTACATAGGTAAACCTACACGTTATACGACCATCTAATTCACGTACTTGGGTACTTTTTTCTTTTTACGTGTATTGTCAATAAAATTGGGTGTAGGTGTAGATGGCGTGGATACGTTGTTGATTGATGCAGGGTGGAGTGCGCGTGGTGTTGCTGCTGATGGATTATTAGAGGGCACGCACGCCCGAGCACCCGCTGTGCCCGTGTGACAACTGCTCGTTAGGGTGTCAAGTCGGCGCATCTTGAAATAAGCAGGCTATAACACCGCGGCGAGTGATTAGCTCGTAGTATATTATGTATACACATATTTATACCTACGTGGCGATCGATTGGTGGGTAAACGAGCAAATTACGCATAGGGAGGATATGCGTGTTGGAGCTGGCGGAGAGAAAATGAAAGGATGTGCTATACCTACTTACAGATACGGCTCGATTTTGCGGATTCCCGCGCCGAGCGCAATCATCACCACCGCCATTAGGAGCAAATTATCGACACGCCGATAAACTGCATCAGATGAGGAGATGGGAAAAGGGCTAGCCACGGCATTCTAAGCTCGCGTCTTCTATATACCTAAAAGCCACCTTCTCGTTTTCGTACTTCTACACTTACTTGGCATATATACATACGTACATTTCGATCGATGGTATTGCAAATCGTCGGCGCATGTCGCATTTGACTCGAGATTGGAGAAGCTGCTACCGAAGATGGACGGCCTATGCAAATGCGATTGGATGACGATGGCTATAGGTATGAATGTATAATAGGTATTAGATTGAGATGAATTTAGCTTTGCAGTATTCTATGTTGCTGACGCATCGGCTCTTGTTTAGAGTTAACGAGCGCACAATGTCCAAATTTCCGTCCCACGGACGGACGAGCAGTTGCGATACGGGTAATTATCAGCCTCGAGTTGAAATAATTAAAAAAAAAAAAACTTTTAGCCAGGAGGCTGCAGATTTCCCCGTCGGTGCATCCAAAGTTGTGCGTGTCTTATCATCGCGAGAGAAGAAGACGAGGCGATGAGGATGACTTTCGCGATTTAATCGATGCCAAGGATAAGTATACTTATATATATATATCCTGCCTGCGATACAACCCGGTCGGCCTAGACCTACCTTTGCTTATTGCTTTACTTGCTACTGACCGTATAAAATATGTACATATTATACAAGCCGTGCAACTCTCGCTCACCTCGTCTCTCTTTCTCTTATCCATCCCCCCGGTGAAATGATAGCTACATACGATTCCTCGCGGATGCACGAGCTAATCACATGACATGTAACTCGTGTCGTCTACTAGCTCGCGTGCGTGCGTGTCACACAGATAGGGAGGGGGGAGGGGGGGGGTTGGCAGTATTACATGCATCACCTTATTACCAACCCACCACCTGCTTACTGAAGCTTATAGGTACTCACAGCCAAACGAACAGGTTGCGCTTGAACCAGTTCGCCGCCTCTGGCTATCACTGGATAACGTTACGTCACTCGCTCATCTCGCGCCACGAGTTTCTCATGCCTTTCTTCACGCTATACCCATATATGTATATACGCGTATGTAGGTATATGGATAGTAACTATATTGTCATCCACGCCGACTCTCCCATCGTACGCAGAATTGTGCAGAAGCTGTACCTGTGCATGTATAGGTGCAAGAGTGCTTGTACAGATGTGGGATATAGGGTTTGCCGTTTGCATGTATATATTATATATGGCCCATATAAGGCCTCAGCACCTATATTTCTCATTATGGGAGGAAAATGGGGGCTTACAAAAAAAAAAATTCTTCAATCAGCACGGAGCATGATTTCATTATCCAAAATGTCGGAGCATTTTCCGAAATGACAGAACAGAGTTGTGTTGTCGATACGCATGTGGGGGAAAATAATGTTATTATCTATAGTAAGGAGACGCACAGACTGATTTCACTCGATGATAATATTTGCTCCGAAGGAAATTTTCAATGGCAAAAATACTTGATAAAATGTACCGATCGACCGATGTCGTAATGAAAACAAGATCGTGCCGTATTTCTCTACGTGCCAATGTACTCGGTCTTTTCAGCATGACCCCCTTTTTTTCAAGCTCCTTTGATGATGAAAAAAAAAAAAGAAAAAAAAAACTCTATACGTGTATTTACGAGCTTCTCTGAAAGTTGTTTTTCCCGGCTCTCGGAAAAACCTGTTTGGTATCGCAAGGCGCGTATCGTAGCCAGCTCGGAAATGGAGACAATAAAGGTGGACGTATCATGGGAACTCCACAAAAGTAAAAAAGAAGAGAGATAGCGGGGAAGGGGAGGAGAGAGAGAGAGAGAGACGAGGTGGGCTTACCTGTGTACGACGTTGGCGAGAAGGTCGTTGTGGCGCAATCGGTAGTCGACGTCGACCTTCTGGTAATTGACCGTGAGGGTGCCGGCGCGTATGCAGCGCTCGTACTCCTCGGCCGGGTGGGCGCGGAACTCGCGGGCAAACACCTCGAGGATCTTCTCCCCGACCCACCGGCCCTTTGTGAACGTCGTGAACGTAAAGTAGTACGGGTACACCTTCCGCAGACCTGCAACAATCATCCAGCGAGTCCTTAACTATATAATACGTATACGTACATGGGTTATATATATATTTACAACGCATAAAGCATACAAGATACTCTATACTATATGGCACGTGCTGCTAACACCACCCCCTGGGTACACCTGTGACCCCATCCGTACACTTGGGTTCAAACGATGGGATATTTCATTTTATAGATAAATAAAAGAAAAAAAAAACCTGTAATTTGATATTAAGTAAGAAAAGGGAATAAAATTCTTGTGGTACAAGCCATTTAGTGTATAGATGTGTATAGGTACATAACTATCAACGTCATCACCAGCCCCAAAAAGGATCAAGCAAAAAACATGAGGTACAAATATAATGCATCATATAAGGAGTCATAGTCACTGCATTGCAAACGAAAAGGCTCGAGGTAAAAAATAGTATATGTATGAGTATACAATAGGTAAGTATATACACACATGTACAGCTCGAGCTCGCGAGTCTTGATAAGAGCGGTGTACGTATATAGTAGCTGTGTATAGAGGAGGAAAAAAATAATTAGTATACACGTCATCGCCGTCGTCGTCTCGGACTATTAAATTGTCAAACGCCGCGGCAGCAGAGAGCAAAGACTGCATGTATATACACGTACAAACCAAAGACGGCGCGTGATTATTTTTCTACTTATGCTTACGTGTGTGGTGCATATAGGCGTAGATGAGTGAGAGTATAGGTACCTACTTTTTTCGCGCACGCGATGCTCGCTCTGTGTACCTACATACGAGTATCTGGAAATATGTACGTATAACTGTAATACATTGGCACCGCGAAGAATATAATAGGAATAATAATCATGTATGGAGCCTGACGGCTATACTGTGTGGAGGCTCGCGTGACAACGTCTGTACATTACAAGTCCCAAGTACTTCTAGTGGCGCATGATGGAAAAAAAAAAGTTATAAGAAATGGTATACGTATGCGGATGGCTATATCGTAGGCCGGACGGGAGGGGGTAAGAAATGCCGAGCTTGTCGGGAAATCGAGGACGTGGAAGCGATGGATCCGCCGACGCGAGAAACGAGGGATCAGCCGAAATCAAGGAGCTGGGACTTGGGTATCGAGGCGCGTTGGTGCGTAACTTTGGATACCTATACGCATTTCGAATATACCTATACGTGTAGAATATGCATGCAAATGCAAACTCTGAGCCATACGTAGGAATGAGAAACGAGTTCGTTTACGAGTGCACGGGTAACATAAGAATACACAATGTACTTAATATTATGATGATAAACGCCCTGCAGCTTGTTGTTCTGCAATAAATTCACCAAGTCCCCCGTGAACCCTCTACGTATAACTTACTCCCCGTTTTTTTTAATTTTACCATTTCTCGAAAACATTGTGTGGTGCATCGACCTGTTTATTTATGCGTTTCCGTAATTTATGTGGCTGAGGTTGATCGCTACGAATTGGACATTGCAGTCATACTCACATGACCAATCTGCTATGATTTTGACGACTTGGCTAAATCTAATGAGCCCCTGTGCACGTATGATGCGTGTAATTGGACCGCTGCGATGTGTTTGATTGAAAGGGGGAGGGTACACCTATGAACCTTGTAACATATTATACGTAACTGTTGAGACCATTAAATTTGTTAATATCCCGTTGATTGGGTCGACCAGCCGTTCCATCATTATATATCCCAAAGATTTATATAAGTATCGGCGATTGTACGATGTGCATGTTTTGCATGCAGGTGATCCGTAAAAGCAGGGGAATAAAATCCCGATTGAATCAACGCAATTGTACCCGATTTCAATCGAACGCAAAATGGTATTACGTCCGCACGAAAAGCCCCGCGGGAAACAAAGCGCATCAATCGAGTTACACGCTCATTTGTTATCCTGAAAACGCATGTTCAAGCGGCAATCGCTCCGGAGAAAACATTTTTTCAAACTCGGGCTGAAATCGATAAAAGAGGGGGTAAAAATAGAGCAGGAGGCCGTGGCGGTGCTCCTCCACCAGCCATGGTACAGTGGGAGCGAAAAAAAGGAGGTGCACCAACTACGGAAGTGCGCAAAACAGAGAAAACAAAACTACTCGCGCAGGGTGATAATGACGGTGGGTTATTTTTTCCCCCTAAAAAGCTCGTCGTTCCGCGTGCACCCATGCGCGGAGCTTTTTCGCTGGTGCAAACTCTATGTCAGAGCCGGCCATTCGATTAGCCACGAATCAGCGAGCACGTCATTCCCCGTATACGTGGCGGTGGATTATACACGGTGTCTCTCTATGAGCGCTCGGCTCGACTAATTGATGCGATTATTTTACATGTACATATTCGAAGTAGGTCACACCAGCTGCGACAATCGGCTCTCCCACTAAGTGGAAACGACGCTACACTGTTGCTGATTTTTTTTTTCTTCCCCCCATCCCGACCGGAATTTTTTCTCCTAACGAGCCGCACTACTTCACGGCTACACAGCGGTTTGCGAGCGGGGCACGTTCGACGCGACTTTTCGGGATCATCGAGCCGCTACATCATAGCCGGATACCTCCCAGGCGTACCTATTCGGCTTATGGCACTGGGCATCATCAAGGTGGCTCTTCTATACTGCAGGTTTCGGCAAAATTAAAGAAAAAAAAAAAAAAAAAAAAAAAAAAAAAAAAAAAAAAAAAAATCAGCCGCTGATTTGTAAAACACGCCGCGGGAATTCCCGTTCGGGAAGAGCCAATTAAGCCGTAATGAGCGCATTAGAGACGAAGACTGCGCTCTCTTTGCTTCTTCGTGTTCACCGCGCGGCTAAGGTGCACCAGCTTTGGAGCCGTCTAAAATTATTATACATAGCCACGTGAAAAATTACGCGGCAAAATTAGATTCGCATAATTATCCAGATTCCCCCTCCCCCCCAAACGCGCACTGTCGGCTATAATTAACGCATGCGTGTATATAGGTAGTACCATGTGCATGTAACTCGGGAATCCGGGTTGGGTTGCGGTGAGATGATTTTCGTTCATCCAAATCGAGTCTTGGAATAATGCAACCACTGTAGGTGCATTTCAACCAACGCGCAAGTTTTGCTCCCCTGCACGGCCTCCCTTTTGCGCAAGTTTGATGAGTTACTTCAACCGTACGGGTACGTAATACGTATATTACGTCAAAATAAAAGTGATGAAAGTGGAGAGAGTAACCGTAAATATGTATATATATATTCCGAGGTAATGCTGACTACGCGTGGTAAACAAAACAAAAAACTCCACTCGTGAAATCGAAAAAAATACTCGACTACCGCAAATGAAAACCACTGGGCGCAGCGGAGTATAAAATACACTATATATTATGTATTATTATACGCAAGCACTCGGAGATGAACAAACGAGCCCTCCGCCCTAATACTAATAGCGAAATTATGCGGCGAGCTGTTATATAAATTAAGCTTCCAGCGAGAAAAAAAAATGCGCGCGCAAGGTAGGTTACGTTATATAGGTGCGCAGGGGGTGGAGAGAAGAAAAAATGGTCATGAAAGAAAAAAGGGGGAAAAGCTCTCGAATTAGCGCGGCGGAAACGCCACGGTCGAATAATTCACTCGGCTCGCGGCTGCTGTGGGTACCTATATATGTATATGTACATGTGTGCAGTATAATACCTACCGCGGCTGCAGAGTGTAACGCACAGGACGAGGGAAACGGAGGGAGGGACAGGCGGCCCAGCTGCAGCGGGGCAAGCTCAAAATTATTATTCCTCTTTCGTTTCGACGCTCGCCAACGCTGATAACACCGACTCTCCCGACTATTTTGTTTTCCGTCACCGGACACGAGCACGGATGCGTACATGTATCTACCATCGCCACCTGCACCCCACGCACCCGTATTTATACAAGCTGGGGTGAAAATCGATTTAGTTGATGCAGCGTACGTGTGTGCGTATAAATATACAAACACGAGCCCTAAAAATCACGCGACAACACGCCATGTCCAAGTATAACAGGTATGCTCGACTGCGAATATTATTTGTTTGTTTTGGAGAAGCGACGTTTTACTTTAAATGTTCTTTATATGTAATGATAAGCAAGTGAAAAATGACACCACGAATCGAGTGCAGGTTTTACTCGGTGGTGTAATGACTTTTAAACTTTTCGCGCAGCGATGGATCAAAGTGCTCTCGCGCTGACCATCGTCTCTCCTTCCATCCGAGCCACTATACTTTTAGTAGAGGTATTCCCGAGGTGGAGGGATGATACGAAAGGATTTCAAGCGGCCTTTGTCGTCGCACGCGCCAAGTGGCTGGCTCTTAATGGCCTCGACCGTATTTATATACAATGCATCTCCTGCCGGGGCTGCCCTTTTCTTTCCTCGATGGAGGAGCTTTTTTTAATGGACGCGTTTAATTGCGTTAATTGCACCGAGTGCTCGCGTCGAGCTTTTTACGCTTTCCCCGAAAGTGGAATGCGCGAGTGACGGGAATGCGATTCGATGCGATGACTCCAAAACGAAGAAGGGCACACGGGTATTCTTTCGAAACGATTACTTATTCCCCGATGACGATTTAAACCCGTCATTGTTTGCGAGGACAATATAGTTCAACCCCGATGCCTCGCGCACACCAATTGCAACTGGCTCCACTTTATTTCGGGATTCATTTTTGTGTCGTTAGGTGGAGAAAAAAAAACGTTTTTTTATCGATTCCTTTAAACGAATCAAAGTCCTCATGAATTTGCAGAAGTCGATCAGGTTCGGATGAATTTTGAGTCTTGGCGGAGAAATGGGTCTTTCGAGTCGAACCAACGTGCTCAAAATACGTTCAACCAATCCGTACAAATCGGCAAAAAATCGGCTATCGTGGACGGGGCGATTTCGCCCAGCTCTGCCCGCAGCAGCATAATATAACATTGCAATAGGTATACTCTGAGTAATTAAAACTGCAGTGCATGCATATATTATATGATCACTGTATGCACGGAAACGCAATACATTGGACTTTTTAAAAATAATTATCCGCCGCGGAGAGAGAAAGGTGCA